TGTCACCATTAACATAAATGTTCTGGGTTGGATACACTTGACTATAAAATTTTAGGCGTGGTCAGGAGGATTTCGAGAATTTGAAGGCTGTCAGCGTTGACGTCAGGGTCAAGATGAACGTGAACCACCTTATTCGGGTATTCTGTTGCATCTGAGGGTATATCAAAATTGTCCTCAAGGCTGTGGAAACATATCTCTCTTCCAAGCCATCCCATATTTATTTATTTATTCTGCACTGTTAGATTAGAACATGCATATACCCACTACGTTAAAACATTTTAACGTTGAAACAAGATGTACAGTTTTCTAGTGGGTATGTGCATGTAACTTTTCTAATATATATATATATATATATATATATATATATATATATATATATATATATATATATATATATATTTTTGTTTATTATACAGTGTTACATTAGAACATGCATATAACCGCTAAAACTGTATATCTTCTTTCAAAGTTAAAAAGAATTTTTTAACGTTGAAACAAGATGTACAGTTTTCTAGTGGGTATGTTCATGTTCTAATGTAACACTGCATAATATATATATATATATATATATATATATATATATATATATATATATATATATGTATATATGTATGTATGTATGCGTGTGTGTGTGTATGTGTGTGTGTGTGTGTATTCATTTTACTTTTGCACTTTGGTACGGTATATATATCATCATTAAATTGCCATATTAGTAAAATACGCATTCACTTAATTTTTCAAAAATTCAACCTTAGCGTTGCGACTGCAAGCTCCACAATTTTGCATCTGTTCTCAATATCACATTTAAAAAAAAAGAAAAAAACATATTTCGATTTGCATTATATTTTAACTTGAATTTTAACAAAAACAAAATAGTTTCCATGTCTGATGATGACCGGAAAACCCGACGAAATTATTTGCATATTTAAGGAAGGCCTTATACAGTTTATAATTTTAAATCTAAGGATCATAACATTTATCGAATGGTTAGTGAGTTAATGGATTTTTAAAATGTGAATTAAAGTGAATTCGCCATTTTATATCATTAACTTTACTGATTTACTTTTTGTATGAATGATTCATTGTAATATATAAATACTCACACAAACACACACACACACACACATATATATATATATATATATATATATATATATATATGAAAGACTTACTCAATTGATAAGAAGCTATATTAAACTGAAGAAGTATTATGTAGAGACGCTAAGCGTCATTTAGTTTTTCTATTTTGTCATTCGCTTACCCATTATTAGATATATAAACGTGTGCGTTATTGATTCAACTCAATAAAACCAAAAATAAATGATTATAGATATGAGTTGCTTCTTTCAACTCATAGACATTGGAGAATACCGATCCTAAATGTGTCTTCTTTCTGAGCACATAAGGATATGCTATCAGCAATCGGTGGCAACAATCATCCCCAGCTTCTTCATAGAGTCTAACAGCATCCTAGAACCACACTTTGCAAAGACTTTTGTATACCCAAGAGACCACACTAAACTGCAAGTGCTACCATGACTCATTTTCACAAGAATATTTCTTTTGTCTTGTCTAATGATTGTTGTTCATTTACTGATTTTAACTCGAAAACGTTAAGAATACGTGGACGCTCAGCTGTGAATTAAAATTTTGATGTCTAGTGTAACTAGATGTTTAATTAAGAAAAATTATGCCTTCGACAGGAATCGAAACTGTATCCATTTATTCCAACCGCTTTTTAGCCAAAGCGTGCCACTACAAATTTGACCACGGAGACCAACCTACCAGAGCACGGTTTTAATTACCTATTTAAGGAATGCACATCTCGCGTTGGAATTTCTACAGATCTATATCTGCTAACTTCAGTTCCGGGCGGAGACACATTTTTTTTTAAATTTAGTATGACTTCTAATTCTTGTTATTAATTTCACTGTTTGAGAATAAAATAAAAAATATAAAAAACAGGGACAGTAACGCAGACAAGAGTGGCCACTAAAAATAGTGTTTTTAGTAATAAGAAATAAGGTTGGATAAAAAAAATCCCTTTCTATTAAAAACTATTGTTGCTTACATTTTGGGGAGAAAGATTCCTCATGGTAAATATTGGTACAGGTTCGATTCTTGCCGGCGGCACAATATTTCTTTAAGAGAACTTATCTGTTTAGGCCGGTTGTTATTAAGTTCACTATTTAATAAAATAAAAATTTAAAAAAAGGATAGCAACTCAAAAAGGAGCACCCACTAAAAATAACGTTTATAATAATAAGAAAGAACTAGATTATATGTACTACTAGCAGCATGGCCCGGCGTTGCCCGTGCTTGATTCAAAAATCGTACGACTCATACAACAATCGCTATCACTTGACTTAAAATATTTTTGAACTTCCTTGCCTTTAAAAGAATGCCCTGTGCTGTGCTGATGTTGCTACATGCCTTACTTCTTGCCTATCTCACACTGCGAATTTTTTCTAAGCTCTATACTAAACATTAAATCTGTTACGAAAAAAGAACTAAACAAAATGAACACAAAACGATCAGCTTTAAAAAAGGACTTGTAACTGGAAAAACCGAATGAAAAAAGAATGTTAACAACAAATACTTTTTCACACCCAACACAGTTCTGCGCAGTCAAAATCAACGTTGAGTTTAAGCAAGCGAATGAGCCAATTGGAGTAAAGTGCCATGCAGATTTAAATTTTTCCCACTTGTGACGAATGCAGCTATCGATTTTTTTTTTTTTGCATGCTAACATGCTAGTTAACATTCGTGTCAGTCAGCTGTTGGCTCTCACGCTGACCAATAGAATCTTCCTGCCTATTCGTGGCAGCCAGCTATAGGCTCTCACTCTGGCCAGTAGAAAATGGCCGCAAACTACATGAAAACTGACGTAGAAGCATGAAAAAATCGATTATTTCCACTATCGATGGGAGTTGGGAAATGCAAAGTCAGTCTTGGCCTTCCCACTAACTTGGAGCATGTGCATCTCAATTTTGGTGCAAATCCGTCGAAAATTGCGGCCGTGCATTCGTTACACACACACACACACACACACACACACACACACACACACACACACACACACACATCCTGCCTTTTATAGATAGAGATGCGATTTGACGAAATGACTATTAGAAAAAGATTACATCAAATTTGAGACCCTACGAAAAGTTGGAATGCACTAGTATCAAAGCCTAAACAAATTCGTCGACTAAGCGATTTCTGAAGAACTCAGACAAGCATAAAATCAGAATAAATATCTTTCATTTCAGACTCACTTCATGGCGCTGACAAATTTCCATCTATTTTCGTTTTTTTACAACGTTTTATATCTTTTTATATTTTGAGTCATGTTTTCTGTCAAAGTGTCATCATTTCTCAATTTTAAACCTTCTGCATGTTAGAATTGCAGCGTCTACTCGACTTTTTGTATCGATCCCAATACAGTCAATAGGGAATTATTGTTGGATGCCTTTCTTCTTCAAACTTCACTGAGTTTCACCGTACGCATTGAGAAATACATACATACATACATACATACATACATACACACACGACCCGTTTGTGTATTAACATGTGCACATTCAAAATAATAGATATATATGCACACAAACATACCCATAAATGCACACACTATATCTCTTTCTTTCGTTCTTTCTGTCTGTCTAGCCTCTTATTTTTGCTCACCCTTTCTTCCTTTCTTTCTTTCTTTCTTGCTCTCATCTCTCTTATTTTACCTCTCTCCATATTTCTTTGGCTCTACTTTTTTTCGCTCTTTCTTTCTTTCTTTTTTCTTTCTTTCTTGCTCTCCAATCACTTATTTTCGCTCTTTAGTTTTTTCTTACTTGCTTTTTCTTTTTCTTTCTTTCTTTCTTTCTTTCTTTCTTTCTTTCTTTCTTTTTCTTAACTCTCTGATTTTATCTTAACTCTTATTCTTATCTCCACGCTTTTTTCTTTCCTCTCTCTCTCTCTTTCTTTCTCTCTCTCTTTCTCTCTCTCTCTCTCTCTCTCTCTTTCTTTCTCTCTCTCTTTCTTTCTCTCTCTCTCTCTCTCTCTCTCTATCTATCTATCTATCTGTCTATCTTTTTTTGTTTTTTTCTTTCTTTCTATCTTTCTTTCTTGCTTGCGTTCCACTCCCTTGTTTTCGCTTTCCGTTTTTTCTTTCTTTCTTTCTTTCTTTCTTTCTTTCTTTCTTTCTTTCTACTCTCTTATTTCCACTTTCTTTCTTTCCACTCTCTTATTTTTTCTCTTTTATTTTCTTTCTTTCTTTCTTTGTCCATGATTTCCCGTCTTTCTTTCTTTCTTTCTTTCTTTCTTTCTTTCTTTCTTTCTTTCTTTCTTGTTCATCGTTCCCTAAGGAACTTTCATCTTTTCTCTCTTTTAAATATTTGCTCTATTACTTTTCCAATAATTATGTGTTTCTCTTCGAACTCTGTGTTCTTTTTACTCCTTACTAGTTGTCTTCATCTTTTTTATCTCTGTATGTCTGAGCTTTCATCCCCCCTCCATTTGCTCTTGTAGTATTTGTTTCGTTAGAAACAACGAAAAGAGTACTGAATTGTTAGGTAGTCTTATATTGTAGTGAAAGCAGGACAATCACTTAAGCGATCAAGAAGAGACATGAAGCAACAGAAATGGGGTACTACCAGATTAAGGTTGAGAATACCATGGACGGAATATGTGAGCAACGACGAAATTTTAGAGAAAATGGAAAAGAGAAGCTAACTTATATATATATATATATATATATATATATATATATATATATATATATATATATATATATATATATATATATTATAAATGAATAAAGGTAAACCCCACTCGTCAGGATAAAGTTATACGAATACCAGGGTTATTTTATTATCATTACCGCTCTCCTAATGTTTCTTCGTTATTGACGAGTATGCTTGTCTTAAAACCGAAAATGGCAGAAAACAAAAAAAAAAAAAATTCGTCATAACATTTTCGACTCAACCTAATATCTTATTCTGTCCGGTCTTACGGTTACATCACATTGAAATACCAGTTCCAGTACGATCACCGAAGTTAAGCAAAGCCGATCCTGGCCAGTACCTAGATATGAGACCGCTTGGGAATACCAGGTGTTCTGAGATTGGATGTGCGGATAGGGGATAATGGCTCGTACATATAAATCGGAAGGCCGAGTTCCAATCCTAGTTGTGTTGTTTATTTCGAGTTAAAATGAGTTTATCCTGCCTCAAAGTCGGAACGTCATAAGGGTGGAAACCTGCGTCATAGCATAGCCGGTCAATGTTGGTCATTGCCAGGAGACCAACTCGTCTTGCTCCACGACTAGATGCCCAGAACAGTAGATCACTTACGAGTTCTTGTTTTGCTCGCCAGCAGTGTCCTGCAAAACGTGTTCCCCGTTCGCGTAAGATTGTAAAACTACAATGGATGGGTCCATAGAACTGTGATTTACTTCGTTCTGGGTATAAAGATAAATCCGGCAGCAAGGCTTCTGATCTTTAGGTTTTGGGGAGGGTGAAACTATATCTTAATTGCTGTTGTTCCCTGGTCCACCCTGATTCAGGGTGGTAGCACCTGTTAGGGTCCCAATTATGGGCTAATAGGGAATCTCTAAAACTTTAATATATGAAAATATAAAATGCAATAGAAAAAATTACCAGCAATATATTTTCCTAGTAAAAATACCAGCAATAAATACCATATATATATATATATATATATATATATATATATATATATATATATATATATATATATATATATATATATATATGTATGTATGTATTTAAATAAAAAGGAAGAACAGTAAGATATATAATCCGGTGTTCTTATAGATATTTTTACTTGGTTAGAACTGTGTAGCGAAAAAAAAAACATATTTTAAATCAATTAATTTATATATATATATATATATATATATATATATATATATATATATATATATATATATATATGTCATATTATATCATATCATATCTTATCATATCATATATAAATACCATATCATAAATATCATAGTAAAAATACCAGCAATACATTTTCATACTAAAACGATAATTATCAGCAATACATTTTGGGGAAAATACGAAAGCTCATAATAAAATAAAATTTCGGCATTAAATTACATATAATGAGTTGCTGTGCCCTTAATAAACAAACCAAATCAATTAAACCTGTGAATAAATTGGAAAACTATCAGTAAATCTGATACTGCTACTCTCTATAGGATTGGCGAACCATAAATGAGTATTTAGCCACTGAAAGAAATCATGAGTATCACGAATATTAGAAACCCTCATGATCGTGTAGAATGTAGGCCAGTGGTGACCAACAGGTGCGGTGCGTCTCATAGGTGTGGCGGAGGAGGATAGCAGGTGAAAGACAATCAAAGATTTAGAAACAGTTTCAAAAAATTCATATGGCAAAAATAAATTTAATTTCAAAATTTCAAATATTATTATGAATTACTTGTAATTTCATGCATGAGTCCCAGTATAAATAATTACAAATAATTATTGACCGATTTTATCATTTTGATATTTTTTCATTATATCAAGTATTAAGCATATAGTAACTGGTGTCTTCAAATTAGAGGAGAGAGTTATCAATGATAATGTCCTGACTTCGAATCTGTGGTTATCTCCCTTTAAATCTCTCCCCCCCTCTCTCTCTCTCTCTCTCTCTCTGAACCTTCTTGGCATTAGGGCTACTTGCGCCTCTTCACCGGGAAATACCTTTGGTGAGGCGCGAGCAAATTTTCATTCGGAAAATGCGGTCCGGAGAAAAAAAGTTTGAGACCCACTGATGTAGGCGATCATGGAACGCCACATATTCCTTTTCTTTATTGTATGAATATTTCAAGACATTTTTAGGAGAGAGAATAGCGTGGTATGCTGTTGATTCTCCCGCGGTTTGAATTCAGCAATTCCTTTCTCTTAGATCGTTGACCACCCAATCCTAGAGAAACCAACCTTTCTTGCTATGTAACCTATAGCGAACGGGAAGAGTGATTGATTTATGCCTTTTTCAGTGTTACGTATGCGGATGTGAACGCAACAGACAAGCCCTTAATTTGAACTTGGCTCAGAGATTCCATTTTCCACGACGACAACTACTGCATTAATTAACCATCTTATTTAGGCTTCTTCACTTGAATCAGCCATTCCTCTCCATATCTATCACTTAGACTCTTGCAGACGGACTATCTCTTTCCGCTGTCTTCGCTTCCTAACACAGGTATTAGTGCTAACCGACACTGCCATTCTCCCACATTCCAACTCATGAACCAATCTTTATTCATGTCTGTTTCTATCATGTAATTCTTCCCGATGCAGAAACGGTTCTGGCAAACTGCGACAGCCAAGTTGGATATCAGTCCAGCTGCCTGTTTTCGACAATTATTAATTCAACCACATGCAGATGGAAGCAGTACAACATTTAAAGACGTGAGAATAAAAGAGAAAGAACTGAATTAAAAAAAAAACAAACAAACAATAACGCAGAAGCAGGTGAAAGCAAGAAAGAACGCTACTAAAAAAAAGTTCGTTTTCAAATATGGCTGACATATATTCCAAACTTAAAGAGGTTACGCTTATTACATCTATTTTAATGCCGACATAGTAACATTAGCGTCCGTTCAACAAATGCATGTAAGCGATGCTTGGTTATAATAGAATAAAACTCTTCGTAAAGATATTAATTTAATCCATATCTTTCTGGTTTGACATTTAAACATCCTTCTTTTTCCATATATCAGAACTGTAATTACAAGCTCTAATTTGTAAAGTGAAAATTTTACTGGAATATATTGGCAAAATTGCAAGTCTCTTTTCGTAACCAAGAAAATTCGAACTTTAAACAAACACGTCCGAATATATGCTAAAAAAACACTAAGCGTTATTTTAACCCACATCCTCGTGGAACATGTTTCACCTGACTTTTTTTATATATATATCTAAACTGCCATATAATAATTGGGCTCGTCTCTTCATTCATTAGTCCCTTCGTTCGAATAACCGTTGCACTCTGACAATACCTCCTAAATAATAGACTATTCCATTTTGCACGCGTGGGAAGACAAAAGACAATTCAGAAACGCTACTTGGTTTCAGTGAAAATAGATAGATAGATAGATAGATAGATAGATAGATAGATAGATAGATAGATAGATAGATCCGCCGCATCTTCACAGATGATGGCTGCCTAAGCACATTCGCTCCCAACCTCGCACCACTCTCGTACATGACCCCAAAAGTCACTTGCCAGGCCAGCTGCGGACTTGTTACGCAAGTGACAGACGAACAATGTGCTTGCCACAACCTTGATGGTTTCACAACAATGTGCCTGATTCCTGTGCACCATCATGTGCCTTTTCAGTCAGGAGCTGGTTGTGTATACCTATATATATATATATATATATATATATATATATATATATATATATATATATATATATATATAATAAAAAGAAAGAACAGTAAGATATATAATCCGGTGTTTTTAGTGATATTTTTATTTTTAAAAAAAACAGTGTTCAATGTAAATTTACAGAGCATAAATATTATTATTATTAATTTAATTATATAATTAAATTTGAAGTTTTTTAGCTTCGGTTTTTGGAACATGGTAATTCCTGTGTAAAGGAAGAAACTATATTTTAAATCAGTTAATTTATAATATATATATATATATATATATATATATATATATATATATATATATATATATAAGTGTTTAACGAAAGAAAGAAAGAAAGAAAGAAAGAAAGATAGCAGTGTTTAACGTCTCCTGCTAATACCTCATAAATAATAGATTATTCCGTTTTGATCGCGTGAAAAGACAAAAAACACGTCAAAGACGCTGCGTGAAAGAAAATGAATGAATGAAGGGAAGATGAACGTGTTTAACGTCTGTTCCAGTGAAATGGGAAAAAGTTGTCAATCTTTTCCTTTGTACATTATTACTTTTTCAAATAACAACCAGAATTCATATTTATGAATTTTATTGCAATATTTTGTTAAAGTTGTTCAGCTCAAATATTTAACGATGCGATAGGGGAATTTCTACGGATATTTTATTGTCGCCAACTTGCGATGAGCGTTCCTTAACTGAAGAATCCACATTCATCAGAAATTTCAGATAGGAAAATCGTAAAATTTGCACAGGTTAAAACTAATAAATTATATTTTTGAAAGTGGAAATTTGCAAAATTCACAGATTTTCATATGAATTCAAGAAATTACAAACTTTAAAGAAAATGCTCACAATATGTAGAAAAACCAAATCGTAAGCTGAAACTGCCGCGTGAAGAATAGGGGTAAAGAAACATTACTATACACGTTGAAATGTATTATCGTTCAGCAGGTAACAAAAATGTCAACATATTTTATGAAATCATGATATTATATATTAAGATTAAAATTAAACTCAGAAACAGATAACAAACAAATGTTGTGACAGCACCTAATTTCGAATGTATATGGAATTTTTTTTTTAATCAATTTACCCCAAGAAAAACAATAATTCCCCTAAGATTAAAAGGGCTACTTTAAGTGAAAGAGAAGGAAAATACTTTAGAAGGTAGAGGAAACCCAATCCTAAACAGGAAATAGGGGATAAACCTCTACTTCTGTTCAATAGATTAGGAAGGAGTGGGAACCGGGTGATACGCGAAACTATGAATTTCACTTGAGGTTTTTGTAGTGTCAGGCAAAGCAGACTTCTCAAGCGATGCTATATTAAGCGTTATTCCAATATTGTCAATGGATAAAGTTTTACACCTGATCAAAAATCTAGGAAGGAGTGTGAACTGGACAATAGGTGAACCTATTTACTCCTATTGAGGACAAAAAAATACATACATAAATATAAATAAAATTGCAGAGTTTAAGAGGAGACGTTAGAAGAATAGAGTAGAAATAGGCTTTCGAAGGAACCGGAAACCCAATCCTAAACAGGAAAAAAGAGATAAACCTCTAATCCTCTTTAAAATCTGAGGGGGTGTTTAAACAGAACGATAGGCGAACATATCTACTCCTATTGAAAACAAATAAATAATAATAATAAATTAAATTGCAGATGCAATAAATATCAAGTTGAAGTACATTTTAGAAGTAA